CTCAGAGCCCCAGCCTCACCCGATTTGCAACGAGGAGTTTTAACTATCTGCTTGGGCAACCCCGAATTCAGTCACCCCTCACGTCTCACGGCTGCCCACCGCGATGTCCACTGGGCAGGCTGCTGAAGCAACGGCCGCCTCTGAACACGACTTGCAATGCTCCCTCGCTGCTCTGAATTGCAAAGAACATTCCCGAATGCTGAAATAAATCAGTGCCCGGCAGCTCCGCGGCACAGGTTAAATGGAGCCATATGGCCCCGCAGACACATGTTGCCCTTTCCTGAAACAAAGGACAAAAATTCCTAAACAAACATCCTTTCCTTTCACAGGGAGGAGCTGGAGAGGGAAGTCGCTCGCGTTACTAAATAATGCTGAAAAGTAAGTTTTTGATTCCTCCCCAGCAAGAACAAATGACAGAGTCTGAACAGGGAACCTCCATTTCTCAGCCTCCCTGTGCCGGTGTCCTGAAAGCCAACACCGCATGTCAGGCGACACTCGTCCTTCCTAAACGAGCAGGAAAATAACAGGCCAGCTGGAGCCAGCACAAGGCGCTGACATCAGCAATTCCCGGGGGTGCCAGAAACGGGAGAGACAGTCCACCTTCTTCGGGCAGAATGAAACCCCAGATGAACTCCGTCTTGAACAGAAAAGAGGCGAATGTCTCATCCTACCTCACTGCTCCCGGGAGGAGCTGTCTTATGTGTACGGTTATGTACATTCCTCCATTCGGAGACCAACTCGTGCCAATTACTGCCCCCGAAAAAAAAAAGCAAAAAGAAAATACAGCGACACACCCGCCAAGCAAAACAGAAAGAGAAAGGAAGCGCCCAGAAAGAGCAGGCACATCGCAGCCAGACAGCACGACGGAGCTGAGCCCCGTGCGCTCACTTTTCAAATGATTTCTTTTTTCCGAGTCTACGGGGTGGTGTTTTACTCATTGCTCTGCAAGTATTTACATGTTTGCGTTCTAAAAACAGTTGTATTTCTAATTACTTCTGCTTTGTCGTTTCCAGCACCATTCAAAGAGTAAACGCCCAACCTTTTTGGGAAACCTACTTTCAAGGAACGCGGAGCCGCAGCCTGACCCTCCTCCACAGCCCCGGGGACGCGGGCACAGGGCGGGATGGGGCGGCCCAGCCGGGGGGAGCTTCAGCTGTTGCCATCACGTGCGCCAGATGCGAGGGACAGAGCCAGCAGGACGGACAGTTGCAACTGCTAATTTTTACCAGTCCCTCTGAAACACACTCGCTGTTCCCTGACGGCGAAATTTCAAATGGAGCCGAGCAGTCAGGGCGCCGATGGCTGTGCCCTCTCTGCGGCTATTTAAGTCCTGGCCCCTAAAAATAGCTCTCCTTTGAAGAAAACTCATTTTAAAATAAGATGCTTTTTAAAGAACTCGATGAGACGTTTTAAATTCACAGTGGACGCTTCTCTTTATCCCTGCCATGAGGTTAATTTTATTAATAAAGTGCTCATATACGTCAACGCTTGATGTGGCTCTTTTCTTACAATGGGTCTGGACAGTCCGCTGCCGCTCCTGAAAACTCGCAGGTATTCACAGCTAGAGTCCTTGAAAAAGAGGATCCCCCACCCGTCACCCCCTCCTCTGGTAGCAGAAGCGGGTAGGGGGCCAGCACAACGCAGGCCAGGCAGAGGCCATCCTCCAGCAAAGACGCCCCCTCCCCCCCCACAAGCTGGCCCGCGGGAGCCCCCAAGGCCTGAACCTCCAACGCTGCAGCCCTCTGGCCACAGGGCGGGGAGGGGCCCAAGAGCGGCAGCCTCCACGGAGGAGCAGGAATGGAGCACCGGATCATGGCCACCACCCGTCAGAACGGCTCCAAAGCAGGACGAGAGGGGCCACAGCCGCTCCGCAGCCCCCACAAGCGGAAGGGCAGCCCAGCTCTCCACCTGCCGGCGTGCTCATCCTGCCACCCAGCTCTGGGGCACACAGGGTTGGCTCGCCCACACCTGATCAGAGGGACTCGCACCCCGAGGCTGCAGCCCCAAATAGGCACATCCCAGGGACACTCGATCCCCCCCCCCCAAGCCGGCAAGCGTCTAAGACTGAAGTCAGTGACACAGTGGGACCTTCGAGACTCCTGGACGCTATGGGCCAGGGGGCCAGCCAGCCCCGCGCCAGGCGAGCAAGACAGCGGCCACACTGGCCACGAGATGAAGCTCACAGACTCCCCCAGGCTCCGGAACTGCTGGGGCGCGGGGAGAAGACAGCAAAGAGATGCCCTCAACTTTTCAAAGAACTCTCCCGGCGGTCAGAGCCGCTTCATCCCCACGCTCAGCGTAAACACAGCGCGAGGGCTCTGCTCAGAGGCCGCGTCCCTCCACCCTCGACACGCGTGGCGCAGGCGCACCTCCAAGAGATGCGACTCCTTCCACCTTCTCCCATCAGCCCACCCTCCGGCGCCGCCTCTCACCAGCAAAGTTCAGATGGTGCAGTTACATGTGCCCGGCACAGGGGCCTCCCTGGTGGCTCAAGGGGTTAGGCTCCACGCTGTGAGGCAATCCGCAGCCTCTGCAGCATGAGTTCGATCCCCAGCCGGCCAGGGAGCTACCCACACGGCGCAGCAGACCTCTCCTGTCTCCCCGCTGCTCCCCTCAGGTGTGTGTTTCAGTCAATCCACCTGTTCTGCTCCCCACTCTGTCCCTGGTGAATCCTCTCACCCCCCACACCTCTGCTTGTACCCCAGATCTTGTGTGCACAAATGGATAAATCTTTAAAAAAAAATAAATGTGCCCAGCAGACACCAATGAAAAAGCTGTTTCGCACATTTAACAGAGAAGCTTTATTCTGCTGGCCACCGAGTCAGGGCAGACGCAAAAGGCCACTTTTAATTATATGATTAACACATACCCTTGCTCTTAAGTTGAAAGTGGAATAAAACCAAAACAGTCTAACATCTGAACATATAAAGCAGCGTGTTCTAAAAGGAAAGCCACAGGTTGGAACACGCTCCTTCCTGCCGAAGGGAATCAGCTTATATTTCAGTTTCCTATTTCCATGGCCGAAGGTGTAGCGCGGCTGCAGCTCCAGGCACGGCCTCCAGCCAGGCTTCCAGCCGCTCCCACAGAACTCTTTTCAAGAGCTCTTCTGACAAACACTGAATAAGACCGACACGTATTCTGGAAAATGAGTAAATAAAAATCCACTACACCCCAATAAACAGAGCACTGGGTTTTCAAGAACAATCCATGACCAGACACTACGTGAATTCCGAGGTCACGTTCTCCTTTCCCCCCGGGGTGAGACTGGAAACCATCCGCTAGAGCAGGGCTCGTGTGGAAACACTTCCAAGAAGCCACCTTGTCTCTTAAACATCGCTGTCACTGAGCAACTGTCACCCCCCCCCCCCCGCTCAGTCTCACCCCGAGGAGCAGAGGCGGCCCATGGAATGAAAACAGTGAACTTGGGGACGCGAAGACAGAGGCTGCAGCCGGGCGACCTGTTTTCATGAACATGTCACATCCCGGGGCGCAGCGCCGTCTTGGGCTAGCACCCCCCACCGCTAGACCTGTGAGGCTGAGGTCCCAGGAGAAGCTGCCGCTCCAGCGACGCCGCTTGCAAGGTGCGTGGCAGGTGACAGTGGGATCAGCAAGGCCCGGCACGCTGTTCCCGGGCCAGGGGCGAATCCAGCCACACCCCCAGAGCGCGCCCGCGCCCTGCCCAGGGCTGGAGGAAGAGGCGCCCGCGGGAAGCAGCTCCCAGGCAGCTCCTCGCTGCTCGGGGAACTTGGCCTTGGAACCTGCCTTGCCTGTCCTCCCTTCCGGAGCAGCCCACCTGCTGGACAGCATCAGACCGCCTCCCTCCCGGCGGGTGCTCCAGTGTCTCAACACATTCAAATAAGTGAAAGAAAACAAAATCTCACCCATAGACTGAGGAAAGCACTAGGCGGGACACCCCTGCACCCTAAGGCGAACCCCGTGGGTCCAGCGCCCCGGCTCCCGGAGCGGCTCTCCCAGAGCCCATCCAAGATGGCCCTGCAGGCCCTGAAACCCGAGCCGCCCTCCCACCGGGGCAGGCCTCCCCGGGGTGGGGGCCCATCCTGCGGGGCACGAGGCCCGTCTGTGCAAACACAGCAGGGGCACCTGGACGCCACAATCAGGGAATGCGGGGACAGGGAAGGACCAGACCATGATAAACGGCCCTCCCCGGGCCGGGCGGTACGGAGTGCCCGGCACCGAGGGGTGCCCATCACCGAGAGGTGCCCATCACCGAGGGGTGCCCGGCACCGAGGGGTGCCCATCACCGAGGGGTGCCCATCACCGAGGGGTGCCCGGCACCAGGCGCGTCCCGAGGCCGCGTTCCTGGGACGCTCCAGCCACGCCGACGGGGCAGCTTGAAAAACACCCCGAGACGCTCCTGAGGGAGGGGACGGCTACGTGACGGTGCCCACCCCCCGCCGCCGGGGTGGGACCCCAATCTTTACATCATCCTCACTCCGGCCGGCCCTGGGCGAGGTGGGGAGCCCCACGCCCGCGGAGCCCGCCGCCCAGGGGCCTTTGTGGCCTGTGCCGGGTGGGCGCGGGCGCGGCGCGGGTCCGGAGCCCCGGCCTTTGTTGCGCAGTGGACACCGGCCAGGCCCGGCCCCCCAACCACCCCCCACCCCGCGCCCACGGCGGCCGTCCTCGCCCGGCAGGGGCCGCGCCCGCGGGGCACCCGGCAGCCCGGCCCGCGCCCCCGCGCCCGCCCCCGCGCCCCGCTGGCCCAGGTGTGGACTTACGTAACCGCGGGGGACCCCGCCTCCGCGCCCCACCTCCGCCGGCGCAAAGTGAAGTTTAAATAGAAACCGGTTACCTGCGCCGCTGGGCCCCGCGCCCCGGCCCCCGCCGCCCCCCGCGCCCCCCGCGCCCCGGCCCGGCCCCCGCCCCCCGCGCCCGGGCCCCGACTCCCGCGCCCCCCGCCCGCCCGCCCGCCGGCCCCCGGCCCCCGGCGCCCCATCCCCCGCCCGCCCGCGCCCGCGCCCCCCGCCCCGGCCCGCACGGACCCCGCCTTTGTTACAGTGCGAAGTTGGGCCGCGGGTCCGGCTCTTTCACTTCTTGGGTTACAGGCGGCGTGTGACGTCCGCGCGCATGACGGGGCGGGGGGCGGGGGCGCGGGCCAGCCCTCCCCCCAGGCCCGCCCCTCCCCCAGGCCCGCCCCCCAGGCCCGCCCCTCCCCCAGGCCCGCCCCCCAGGCCCGCCCCTCCCCCCCAGGCCCGGCCCTCCGCCCCCCCCCCCCCCCCCCCCCGCCCCCGCCCCCGCCCCCGCCCCGGGCGGGCAGGTGAGCTCCCCGGCGGCTCCGTGCGGGGCCTCCGTGCCCCAGCCCGGCCGCGGGGGCTCTGGCGCGGCGCGGGGGGTGGAGGTCGCGGGGCCGCCCCTGCACCCGCGGGGTGACCTCGGCGAGGCCGGGCACGCCCGCGCGGGGACGAGGCGGGGGCGGGGGCGGGGCCCCGCAGGTCTCCCCGCAGGTCTCCCCGCAGGTCTCCCCGCAGGAGCGCGTCTCCAGCACCCCCGGAGGCGCGCGGGCGCCCGACCCGGCGCCCCTGCCCGGACGGGCCGCGCCCCACGCCACGCTGCCCGCGGCGGCCGGGCCCGGGGGAGGCGCCGCGGCAGGGCTTCCACCGCCGCGGGCAGGTCGCGCCCCGGGCCTGCCCCTGGCGCGTGTCCCGGCCCGCCGCGTGGGAGGACCCGAGGACCCGGGCGGACGCGCGGCCCGGGGCGAGAGGCGCCAGCGCGGCCCCGGCCTCCTCCCCGCCCGCGCCCCCGGGGGCTCCCGGGGCCCCCCGCCGCCGCGTGCCCGGGGACGCGCGTGGGCGCGCGCACGTGCGCATCTGCCGCCGGGGCGCGGGCCGGGCGCGCGCGGGCGGACACTTGGGCGCGGGCGCGCGCGCGCCGGGCGCCGACCACCTCCGGGACGGGGCCGGCGCCGCGGATTGGCCGGCGCGGCCGCCACTCTCGGCCGGGGGCGGGGCGGCCCCGCGGGCGCTTCCTCTCCCGCCCGCCCGGACGACCCGCGGCGGCGCGGAAAGTTGGGCGTCCGGCCGGGGGCGCCCCCAGGCGCGCGCCGCCGCCCCCCGCGGGCGTCCTGTGCCTCCACCGTGGAGGGGGCGGCCCGCCGCCCCGGGGGCGCACGGGGAGCCCCGGCCGGGAGCGGGGTCCCCCGGAGGGGCGGGGCTGCCCGCGGCGCCCGGGGACGGGACCCGCCCCCGGCCCGAAGTCAGGGGCCGTCCGCGGCCGCGCGCCCCGACGCCGGCCGCACGTGCGCGCCGCGGCGGCCAGTTCCGCGGGGTGCGCGCCGGCGCCGCCCCCCGCGCTGCCCCACTGCGGGCCGGAGACGCAGGACCGAGTTCGAGACGTGAGTCCCGCGGTCCGTGTGTCCGTCCCGCCAGCCCCGCGCGCGGGGCCTCGAGAGCAGCGACTTCCCGGACGGCCTGGCGCCCCCCCCGCGCCGCCGCCCCCCGCGCCCCGCGCCGCCCCCGGCGCCCCCCGCGGGGACTTCGAGGACGCGCGGCGGGTCCGGCCTCGGCGCCCCGGGCTTGGATTTGCGTTTCAGATTCCACAGGTCCCCGCGCCGCGGGGCTGCGGCCACCACGGGCCCCCCCGGCTCCTGCGCATCTGGGGGAGTAAGGCGCAGCGCGGGCGGCGGGCGGGGCTTCCCGCGCCCAGGACGGGGCCGCCCCCCGCCGGTCCCCGCCCCCGGCCCCGGCGAACTCGTCCGCGCAAAGTTCCTTGAAACTTGACTCGGCGGCTGCACCCCGAGACCGACCGCCGCTCCCGGGCAGCTGGGTCTCCCGGCAACGGCCGGCAGCGCGTCTCCAGCACCCCCACCCCCCACGCGCCCCCCACGCCCCCGGGCTCTTACTGCCCCGGGTACGCGCAGGACCCCGCCGCCCCCGCCCCTCCGCGACCCCGGCCGGGGGGCGCCTCCGCGAGGAGCGCGGCGCCCGGAACCCCTCCCGGCCCTCCCCCTCCCCTCCCCTCCCCTCCCCTCCCCAGTCGCTGCGAGAACCCGCGCCCCCGCCCCCACCCCGCCCCAACTTCCCTCCGGGGCGCTCTCACTTCTCTCGGGCTCGGGCCGCTCGCTCGCGCCCGGCCGGCGGGCAGCGCCCGGGGAGGGGCGCGCGGGGGCCCCCTCCCCCACCACCCCGGCCCCCCGGCCCCAGGCCGCGCGCGGGGAGCCCGGGCTCGGCCCCCCCGGCGGCTCCTCGGGCCCCGCCGCGCTCCCCGGCCGTGGGCAGCCGGGCGCGGCCCGAAAGTGCGGCGCCTGCTCTTTGTCTCGCCGCGGCCGGAGAGCGCACCCCGCGCCCCCGCCCCGCGCCCGGCGAGGGTACAAAGCCGGCGCCTCCCCGCGGTGGAGCCGCGCCCGGGCGCCGCCTCGCCGCGAAGTTGCCTCTTCCCGCCCCGGCCGCTGCCCGCGGGGAGGCCCCGCCGGAGCCCCCCGGGCGCCCCCCGCGGCCCCGGCCCCCGCCCCGCGCCCCGCGGCGCGCCCCCGCGGACCCTACCTTGGCGGGGCGGCGGGCCGGAGGGGGACGCGCGCGCCCCGCGCCGCTGAAGGTGAAGCCGAGCGGCCGCGCCGCGGAGCCGAGCGCTGCAGAGGCCGACCGCGCCAGCTGCGCCCGGGCGCGGGGGACGCGCGAGGGCGCGCGGGCCCCGCCACGCGCCCGGCCCCCTCCCCGCGCCGCCCGCGCGCGCCCCGGACGCGCCCGGCCCGCGGGGACTCCGGCGCCGGCGGGGCTCGGGGGGCGGCGGGGCGGGGGCCGGGGCCCCGCGGCCGGGCTCGGGCCCGCGGCTTCCCCCGGCCCCGGAATGGTCTGCCCTGCAGGCAGCGCACACGCTCCACTATTGTCTCGTCGGCACAAAGTTCTGCCCCGCTGCGGGGCGGGTGCGGGGCCCGCGGCGACCCGGCGGGGACCTGCCCCGGCGCTGCGTCACGGCCCCCCGCGGCCGGCGCCCCTTCTCCTCCGCGCGGCCGCCGCGGCCCGGCCCGGCGCTCTACGCGCGCGCACCCCGCATCCAGGCGTGCGGCGCGCGGGACGCGGCCGGCCCACTCGGCACCTGGGCGCGGGCCTGGTCCGGTCCTCGCGTGTCCTTCCGGCGGCCCGCGGGCGCCCGGCGGCGGGGGGCGCCCCGACTTCCTGCTCGCGCGCGGGGGGCGCCGCGCCGGGCTCCGGGGACGGGGTCCCGCCTCGACCCCGGAGGGCCCCGGAGCGGCGTCAGCGCGGGGGTCCTGCTCGCCGGCGATTCCCAAACGCCGTTTCCACCGTTGACCTGCGAAAGTTGGACGCGAATTTCTGCGTGTCCGGCCCCCTCCCCGGCTGCGCGCGGGGGCGTCGCCCGCGGGGCCGGGCCGGGGCCGGGGCGGGAGACCCCGATCCGTCCGCCGGCGGGACTCGAGGGGGGCGTGGGCCGGGGCGCAGCGGAAGGGGGGCGGGGGAGGAGCCCCCGGCCGCGGTGACGTAGAGGAAGAGCCGGCCCGGGGCAGCGCCGGCGGCCCCCGCAGGCCCGCGCGGGCGTGGGGGCCGGGCCGGGCACGGCGGGTCGCCGAGCGCCCCGCGCCGCGTGCGCGCGGCCCCTCCGCGGGGGCCCTTCTGGGCGGCGGCGCGCTCGCTGCGGACGCAGCTGGGGCCTCCCCAACTCCTGGCATCCGCGCCGCCGAGCCTCCCGGGTTGCCGCGGAGGGCGGTGCTGCCTGCGGAGCCGGCGCCCAGCTGCGGGGCCTCCTGCGCGTGCCGGGGGCGCGGGGCGCGGGGCCGGGCCGCGGGCTGGGCCCGGGAGGCGAGAACCTTCTGGGAAGGATCCGCGCCGGCGACCTGTGGCTGCGCGAGGTTGACGACCCGCGCGGACTCGAGAGCGGGGCTGGCGGGACGGGACCGTTGTCGCTGGCGCCAGGGCGAGCGCCCGGCGGGCGGTGACCCTGAGCCCCCACCCAAGTCTGAGCCGCAGAAAAGCGTTAAAGGGCCCGAAATGCATTCCCGGGCCCCGTGAAAAGCACAGTCGGACCCCTCCGGGCTGCGGTGACACGGGTGGGCACGGCGCGCGCGCGGGCAGCGTCACGGGGGTGCGGATCCGCCCACAGAGACATGAAAATTTGAGTACTTGAATTTTTTTAATTGTACTGCTTTGGCGTGGATTTGAACGGGTGGTAAAGCCGCCCACCCACCGCCTCCCGGCTCTGCTTGGGACCGCAGCGGCCGCCTAATGACGCCCATGTGGCGGCGGTTGGCGAGCGAGATCAGCCTCGGGGGAGCGGAACTGGCAAAGCCCTCCAGGTGAAACTGGTTTTCATGGTTTTCCTCCTCTTCCTGGCTGCTCCTCGCCCGCGGGGCTTCGCTCGGGGCTGGCACAGGGAGGCTGTGCGTCTGACAGCTTCCCTTTCTCCCGGCGCCCCTTCCCTGCGCGCAGACCCTGGAGGGTAATTGGAGAGAGGGACAAGAGGGACCGGGGAAAGGGCAGCTTGTGGGCCAGCCCGGGCCTGCTGCTGTGACGGGACACCGCCCGCAGGAGAGCACTGCCGCCAGCTTACTCCAGAGGAAAATGGTGTGAAAATAAGAGATTCAGGAAGAATTCTCATACAGCTCTGATGACGTATTTAGCGTTGCCAAAATTTCAGCTGTTCAATACCTTCCAACGTCTGAAGTCGCCATTAAAGATGAAGGAAGCTGTTTCTGCCCAAATGCAAATCCCCGAACTCCCCCAGGAGAGGGGGTGTGATCGGGAGTGTCTTAGTGTCTTCGCCAATACTGGGGCGGAGAAAAGTCAGTGATGTGAAGGAAGTAGGGCTGAACACGTATTTGGCTATTTATGATTTTGTAATCGACAACAATGCCGGCTAATGAAACAGATGCGGGGGGAGACGCGTGTTTCCCTTGCTGCGTCTAATGAAGTATTGGCTCAGCGTTTGGGTCTCTCCTCCGCCCAGCCGAGGCTGATGGCGTGGAGCGGAGCCGTGTTCAATGCCTCGTCTGCATCACTCGGCCGGGATGGGGCTGGTGGACCCTTGGAGAGAAGGTTCTCAAGGGCCTCCATTAGCGAGGCGCACGCAGCAGGAAGACCCCAGAACA